ACTTCAATCTCTTGATTCAAAATATATGAGAGTTGCCCAGTTGCCAGGCATGGGCGGCAAAGTGTGACATGCCTGTCTAGGTTTTTTTACGCCTGTAAACTTTGGCTTAATGAGCCATTGCTTAGTCGCCCGATTATATCAGATTTCAGATTGGAAAGAGGACCAATCAAATTATTGCCGAACTGATCAAGATCTGACAGTTGCTTGGAATGCCTTCGGCAATGGAGTTCGTTTTCATCAAGTATCCAGAATGTTTTATTACGGCGAGGTCCAATCTATGATAGAATAGACATTCGTATCATTTACGGCTTTTGACTCTTATACGACAATAGCCACATAAGTAGCTATCCATCAAGTCCACTTCTTCCCTGTGAGTATTACGCTCTTTAGTTGCTTATCATTTCGATAGACAACTGGACACTGGAACAACGTTGTTACCTTTCCACGTCATCGTTGAAAAGTCAACACAATCATGGAGAGATATTCTTTACTCATAAATTCACTTACGTATTGTCGTCTCATAGCCAGACCCAGTTGGCTTATAGCCAGACCCACTTGTGGCTCTTTTTTGGCAAATATTATTTCAGAAAATGATCTATTTTTGTGGAACACATTTATTTGTCTATCGAGAGGTGTTGACTTATGGGAATAGATGCAAATGCCTCATTTAGGACACACACATTTAGACCATACACATATATTTAAATGTAATTTGGATCATCTCTCGGAAGATGTTTTACATAATGTATATGAAAACATCAACTCGTGAGAAATGAGTATGAAAATTATTTAGCCATAATGTAATTATATAATTAATAAGCGCAACGGAATTACTGAAAAAAGAGACATCCGTCTAAAGGGCCAAGTAGGTAAACACTCGCAACTAACAACTCAATGGAACGACATGCGGTACAGTTTTCATATCGATAGCCTTAGTAGATGCTAGTGCTTTAAGACTTTAATTTTAGAATTCATGCCTTGATTCCTAATAATAATAATTAATACTTAAAAAAG